CAGTAACTCCCTTTATGTATATTCTGGAGCTGTGAAACTGTGGAGTCTGTTAGCCTATTCAACATTAGAAAATGCTTATACATAGTAACAGTGTGCTGATCTTGTATTAATGATCCAAATGTCCTTTCAGCTTCTGACTTTTAGCACTTTTACAACTGTCTAGTACTTCTGCCAAGGATTTTCTGCAGTTTACAGTGCCTAATGTTTAGGATTAGGCTATGAGAGAGGAATCAGTCTAATTCCAAAGGGATCAAGAGATCCCTTTTGGATCTTCTGGAAACTTTTACACAAGACAGTGTGTCTTTTCTTTATTTGTTCCTTTTCAGCTTATTTGGACTTTGTGCCAGTTTTTAATAATGATTTTCAACATAAAACCTAAAAATTCTTTGACCACTGACCACAGTGACTGGGATAGTCACTTTCCTACCTGTAAAATTGGTGTTTATGCACTCTTCCTGACTGTGCAGTTGTTCAACATTGGTTAAAGTATAGGTAGAAAGGGATAAATTCCTTAATTATACCCTTTTCTGCACAGAAAAGAAGTTAAGAGGAAGAACAGAAAAAATAGCCATCTTCTAACACTTTGTAAGCAGTGAACTTAACAAGAAGTATACTGATAAGAACTTTTTCATGACGCTGCCCAGAAAAATTTTAGACTGGCATAAACCTTAAAATGAAAGGCAATCTAACTGTCGAGTCTAAATGAAATACTGATTTTGAATTTTACTTTATTTAAAATATTGCACAATTTCATTTGAATATTATGACATTACTTACATCTGTATGCCCTGATACATAACTCAGTTAGTTACCCCAAGGGCTAATTGTTGTAAAGGGCATTTACAATGTCTTTTGTCAGGTATAATACCTGTCTTTATTCAATAATAATAAAATAATGTATTTACATAGGTAGCCAAATTTTATTTTTTATGTTTTCTGTTGACCTACAGCTGAGCACAACAGATGACACAGATTTATTGAAAATCCAGACAGATAGCCAGCTCTCCATTATCCTTTGTTCATCTCACCAGCTTAAAGTGCTGTAATAGCTCATATATGAAAGTTGTCCCTTTTAGAAAATACATAGGTTATTGTCCACTGTGTGTCTGTAGTATGCTTAAGATAATGACCTAGATTCAAAAGAGTTCTATGGTGGAAGCACTAACAAAAATAGTCAAATAAAGTTTCTTCATTTCAGCCATCACGATAGTTTTATGAATGAATTAAGGATAATTTATTGATACAATGTTTTGTTTAACAGGTTCTACTTTAGATTTGCATTTTAATGATGTGAACGTCGCATCCATAGATAGAGAATTAGAAGATCAAGAAGCCAGTGACCTTGGATTAGCAAGTAAGAGGTCCAATTCGTAAAATTATACTCATTTAAAAAAAAAAAAAATCTATCTTTCTTACCTTTCTAAACTTTTACTCATCAAAATAGTTAGAGAGCTGTTTAAGTTTGTGGTGTTAAGGGATTGCACCGCTATCATACTGTCTGTATTTTGCAAGGGATCAGTCTAGTAAATGTTCTGTGGGGTTATTTTTAACATACTTAATGACTTGGGCCCATGGGCATAATACTTGATGGAAGGACTTACATGCATTTACAGGAAGGCATTATGCTTGAGCTTGCCTTCCTGCATGTTGAGTGCTGCAAATGTTGAATGACAGCAGGCAGTACGTGCTGCAGGGACTGGCAAGTACTTCCATGGTTAGGTGGTTGCTGAGAGGAGGAGTGGGGACAATTTTTGAGGAGAAGGAGCTAGCAACCTTTAGGACTGTAATACTTGCAAGATAGGGACTTAATCTTTCTGTGAATCTAACCTGGAAGGAACAATTTAGTTGAATGGGAAAGGAGAGGAGAGGAAGACATAGCAAAGGAGATCAGGGCAGGGAAGAGCCATCAGGGAGGAGGGATGAACGAGGGGAACAACAAGAAATTAAAAAGGCACCTTTTCTTTGTGAAAGTAGAAAAGGGAAAATAATTGAGAGGAAAAAAAAAAGAAAAATTGGAAGTGAAAACTGAGGAACTATAATTTAATTATCGTATTCCTTTGAGAGTCACAGAGTAAGAGAACAGACGTTTTTATAATACTTCCATTTATTTTTTGATATCTGTTTCGCTAGCATTTCTTTGAAGGGGGATTATTAAGTTGGTTGTGCATATGCGTTAAGCTTCCACTTGCACAAAAAACAAAACAAAACTGTATTCCTGGATGGCAAATGTGTTCCTCCCATGTCCTTGCCCTGTGGCTCTAGACACAGGGTAAAAAAACTATAGCTACACCATGGTTTATTATTCCTGACTGTTACTCCGAGAAGAAAAACTTGCACTTGATGTCTCTATACATTATGCAATTTTGCTTCCTTTAAGATAACTATTATATCTTTAGTCCACTGGCTTTAACAAATATACAAATATATTTGATGTTGTTGGAATATGTAAGCTGTCACTGGGACCACAGTGGATAGGGCAGTACCCAAGTATTATAGATTCCAGACTTTGTCATGAGGCATGGAAATTGTTTTGATCCCAGTGAGCATAAAGTGCCCTCACTCCCTCAGGAAAGCACATATTATAAGCAACTACAAGTTGCTTCTTTTCAGAACTAACACAGATGTCCAGAGCGATTCTGCTTCAAACTTTTCCTCCTCCAAGTGCTTCCTTTGCACTGAAAGGGGCCAGTTCTAAACAAGATAACTAATTTTATCACCCTAGTAGTGTGCAGATACGTGAAGCTTCTTAGCAAACACAGAATACAGGAAAGTCACTTGGTTTGAAATGTACTTTCTCACTTCAGCAGCTTGCTCATTTGAAGGTGGGCAGAAGACGCCTCACGTAAAGTGACTGGTGACATGTTTCTTTCTTCGCATCCGAGTAGAGCACTTGGGGAGGCAGTTTACAATTCTCATTTGTTGGTGTTAATATTTTGGCATCAAGTAGATCTAGGTATGTTGTAGGAGTAGCTTCATTATTGATAGCAAGAGCTAAAAAAACAGTGCTGGATTGTGCTGATTAAGAAGTTTCTTACACCAAATATTAATTTCTCAGGTCTTGACAACAGCACTACAGGCTCTGGTGACCCTTGACTGTGTTTTCTCCCAAGGTGGTTGTTATTAGACGCTCTATTTGTGGTACCTGTATACTTCAGGTTACTAGGTAATCTGTAAAGAATGACCCAAAATGTTACAGTCTCAATAGGCAGTCATCTAGTTTTATGTAGGTTCTCATCAATAATATTAGTCGTAATATTAGAGGTTTTAGGGCTTTATATTTATTTTGGTTCATTGACTTCTTAAAATTTTCTGTCCAGTGATGATGCTAACAGGTTGTTTCTTCACCAGAACAGTTTATTTGTTATGTTGTTATCTGTTAACATTTTCCATTACTGTTCATGATATTCCCCTTCATACAGACCTGGAAAGAAACTGATAATGTGTGCAATTTCAAATTTATTTCTCTGCTAGTGTCAGGCTCAACAATTCTGCTGATGCTAGAGTTTGACTAGTGTTCATTTACTGCCTTGTTTTATGCTGCAGGAATGATTATGCTTCATTGGAAGTACCATGACGTATGGAACAGGAAGGAAATACTGTAACCAGTTTTAAGTTTTATTTGTATGTGGAGGATAGTTCATGTGGTGTAGTATGTTGACCTTGGTGGGTAGCCAGACACCCATCCAGCTGCTTTCTCACTCCCCCTCCTCAACAAGACAGGGGGATAAGATTAAAAAGCTCATGGATTGAGGTAAAGACAGGGAAGATCACTTACCAGTTGCTGTGATGGGCAAAACAGACTTGACTTGGGGAAAGTTAATTTATTGCCAATTAAAATAGAGTTGGATGGTGAGAAACAAAAACTAAAACAACCCCCCACCACCTCTTCCCCAGGCTCGACTTCATTCACAACTCTTATACCTCTCTCTTCCCATCCTGAGTGGCTTACGGGGATGAGGAATCAGGGGTAGTGGTCAGTTCATTACTGTTCCTCTTTGATGCTCCTTCCTCCTCACACTTATCCCTGCTCCAGCGTGGGTCCTCTCTGTGGGCCACAGTTGCTGTCAGGAGAACCTGTGTCAGCACGGGTTTTCCAAGGGCTGCGGTTCCTTCAAGAAATATCCACCTGCTCTGACCTGGTCCTGTCCACAGACTGCAGGGAAATTCATGCTTGTTCCATAGTCTCTTCCATGGGATGCAAGGAAATACCTGCTCCACGGTGGTCTCTTCCAAACCTTCCATGGGCTGCAGGGGAATCTCTGCTCTAGGAAAATCTCTGCTCTGGTGAATGGACCACCTCCTCCCTTTCCTTCTTTCCTGACCTTGGTGTTCACAGGGCTGTTTCTTGCACCTTTTGTTCCTTCGTCCTCTGCCTGTGTGGCATTTTTTTGCCCCTTCTTAAATATCTTCTCCCAGAGGCACCACAAGTGTGGCTGAAGGGCGCAGCCATGTCTGGCAATGGGTCCACTGAAGCTGGATGGAACTGGCTGTATCTGGCACAAGTGTTTGTTTGGGGGCTTTACTTTGGCTCTTAATTTTTTAAGAGAATTCTGACCTGGACAGATTTTTTAACTAAACTACCTTTACTTTGTTGCTTCCTTGATCCTCTTGCGAAGAGCCCTGTATGTTTATTGTCTGGTATATTACGTACATCTGTGTTATATGTCTGTCCTGTATCTTCCTTATATAGTTGGTCATGAGGCTGACCTTTTCAAGATATATTTTTTTTGAAGACATTGTGGCAATGCAGCTTGTAATAAGCATCCCTGTGTTTTTGTTTTGAAATACTTACAAAAGGAATGATGTTTTCTCTAATGGCATTAATTCACCCATTCCAAGCAAAACCAGAAAACTAGAATCATGACCATTGCTTTAACTATAATAATGACTGCTCTATTTTTTTAAAGAAAAAGTTATGTCATTTTTAGTTGCTATTCAAACATATTGATGAATAAAATCTTCACAGTAAATACTGAACTATTTCCTGCATCTGTGCATGTTTATTTAAGTAACTGCATGAACGTCCTTTTGATAATTCCTTTTTTCTTATTCTCATTATTTTGGAAAATTAAAACCAATGCATTTGTTTGACTAAATGGAAGGTATTTGAATATGTAATTTAATTTATGTTTGATACATTTTTCAGAAAAATACTTAACAGAGAGCTGTGTACTGCTTTGGAACAATTTTTTTTTTTTTTTCCCTAATGCATACATAGGTCAAAGATTGCTGGAAAGTTCAGCACCTGTCAATATTCCAGGTTCTCTTGTTCGTTCCTCATCTTTACATTCATCGTCATCCCTTTCAACCTCTCCACTCGGTTCTCTTTCACAATCGCTGTCTCAGTCTTTTGTTTCATCTACTACGGCTCCTCAGCACCAGCAGCTTTACCCTTTGAAGACAGAACATAGTATGTTAGGCACCTCGGCTTCTTCTCACAACTCTTTAGGTAAGTATATTGAAGGCTGCACTTGTAAGAGGAAACTCAATGGAAGGTAAGAAACATTCAGTTCAAGGCTTTGCATGTTTCTTATAACTTACCTGGACAACAAAGCCTAGCTATTGTAATTGATAACACTATTTATAATGGAGTTATATGTAGTATGTGGGAGAAAGTTCAAGGAGTGAAATTCTGTTCCTAGTGAAGGGAAAAAAAAATTCTTGGAAGAGGAGGTATTTACAGAGGCATTTGAAAG